CATATATGAATTGATCAACAAGGGGGTTCCAATTTTTCTAGATTCGATTTCCAAATTTGGTAAAATACTTGACTGTATCTAAGGGTAGGAAATTAATCAAGGAATCTTCTAGAAAATCTGGAAAGAAAACAAATGATTTAGTTGTTTTTAATAAGCATGGAGATCCATGGTAAAGAAAGCATAGAGAGATTAATTATAAAATGTTATATATTTGATAAATATAATTTAAATAGTTGTAAATATCCTCCAAATTTGATGTCAGATAGTAGTTACTTGAAAAATAAACTATGTGTAGAGTTATGTATGTATTTAGAAAATGATGATTGAAAAATTATTATTGCAATTAAATTAATCTAATGAGAATTCACTTTATGTTTTCCACCACCTTTCTTTCCAAATTCCTGATTTTCTTTCAAAGCCCAAGTAGGAAGTAATTTCTATATAAATAAATGGACACATAAACAAGAATTTTATCATCCATTATTACATCTAAGTCCATTCTTTTCTTTGCTTCTAGATAATAAAAACGTATAATTAGCCAAGTTTTAGGTGTTTAGAAAAATAATTTTATTACCTTCTATTTTATTATCTGTTTCAAATTCAATGTTTGTTCTTAAAAGTACAACTAAATCTGATTGATCAATTATTTTTTTCATCATAATTTAGGTCTCTTTGATCCAACAATTTTTTAATATCATCTTTTTTTAATTTATCCAATCCCATACCTGGTTCTAAAGAATAAGTGGTAATTTGAGACATAGATTTTAATGATGATGTACTTTAATATATTTAAATATAGAATATAAAAAAATTTTTTTTGTTTATTGTTTTATTTAGAAAAAACTACTAATTCAAACCTGTTGATGGCATTGGTTAAACTTGCATACAAACCTATCCCCTTCAATAAGTATACCAATGTATTCAAATAATTGCTTGATTGGCCTTGAACATATAATGGTGTGGTTGGTCCAGTCTTGGATTTCCATACAATCACTCTTGCAATTTTTTACTTGTATTTTTTCAATGTATCTTGGTTAAATAAAAAATAAATAAATAAACATGATATCACTATTTAATACTTTCCTCATGTGTGAATTCCTTTGTACCTACATTAATCACCATGTTTGATACTATCATTAACATAACAAACAATTGCATCACCCAAGTAGTAATAACACCAAGGCCATGTGTAAATGAAATTTTTAATAATGCATGTCTACCCAGATCTCTGGGGTTCACAAGAATAAATAAATAATGATCTATTCCTTGCTTGGACTAGGTTGACTGGAGGATCAAAAAAGTTCATATTCCTTCAAATTATATTGTTCCTTATGAATAATAAATCTGATTTTGATCACAGGTGTCAGATTTAGTAAAAATTTCCTGTCACCAACATGGAATAAGGTGTTCTCACACCTCTTCATGACTGTAGAATTTTTTCCACAGGTGAGGTAATCCAAACATGTTGGAAGGCTTTGGACAAAACTTTCCACATCTTCTTCTCAGACCAGGCTGGCTGTTTCCATATGAGCATTGATAATTGACAAGAGTTGGCACTGTGTGATGATTGCTTTGTTTTATCCCAACCTGTAAAATAAAGCTGGTGTTAAGACTGGTATGAAATTCTGCAACTCAGGAGGTTGCAACCTGGGTTGTTGTTTTGGATTTTCCCTGAATTCTGAGTTTTGAGTCCTGGGTTGCTGTTTAGTCAGTGGCACACCTACTCACCAACAACCCTACCCCATTTAAATAACAAATTCACTTGGTCAAATAAAATTAAAGAAACAGAAAATTTATGGGAATGATTAATTTATACAAAACATACCAAACAAAATCTGAACCATTTTATTTTACAGCTTTCCTCTTAACATCAGAGCCCAAACACAATTTCAGGGTCACCAACCTTGCTCTGAATTGCAAATTCCCATGCTTAAAATGAGTTGCAGATTCTCTTAAGAGTTGCAACTTCTTGGTCACAGATCAATCTAAAGACTAGTGCCGTAATCCAAAAAAGGAAAAGTATGGTTGCAAAAGTGGTCGCAAAGGTAATTGTGACCACTTTTTATATGCCGTAAATACAATTACTACCATCACCATAATTTACGGCACTAGTCTTTAGATCAATCCTTAGAGGTAGGATTGTTGCAGGTGACTTTTCAACTAACATGGCAGCCTTCTCTGGTCTGGTGCTGTGTGGGAAGATTAGTGAAAGTGTCCTTGACAATTAATGCAGTCTTGGTAAACTCCAGGGCCTTGGACTCCCCCCTGGAATTTTGTTGCATCATTGTATCATCAGGGGCACCATGTTCAGATTAGCCTTGTGTACATGAGGAACATGAGAATGACTGTAAGTGTTCAAGGCAGCATGTGTGCTTCAACACCTGCCAACTTCCAATAATCAAACATCACATATTTGAAATGTTTTATATTCAAGTCATGTGCTGCCTTGACATCTTGTAATTAATTATATATTTAATATTAATGTTAATATTAATAATGATTACAAAAAGCCAAATACATCAAGAATTTATAATTTCCCAACAAGATCTGCTCTGCGTTTTGATTTAAAAGACATATCAATGCAAATTAAAAAAAGTTACCTCTGGTTAGTTATTAATATGTTTCCTCTTAGAACCAATCATGCTAAACAACATCACTCACATTTTGTCATCTGTCAAAAAATAAATTGTTTTTCCAAAAAATAGGGGGGTTCCATACATAATTAGTATGCGTTTTTGTCAATCAAATAACAAATTCTTTTTTTTTATTTTCTATTTTTTTATAAAAAATAAAAATGTCCCAACAAAAACAAAAAAATAAAAGAAAATGACAAGGTGATAAAGATGAAAGAAATGGGTAAGTAGTGTTTATCATAAGAATGGTGGTGATGGTTATCACCACCACTCAGCATCACTCTAGTTATAACATTAATAAATAAATATAATTAACTGGTTATCAACCAGTTAAAGTTTTTTGACCAGTTCTAACTCTATTGATACACATTTTGAAATAGAAACAAAGACAATTAATAATCCATAAACTTTACTTTTCATTATTTAATATTAGTGTAAACGAACAGCCTGATGATGAAATAGAGGAAGATGATATTATAGAATGTAAAGAAAGATTAAGAAAATTTGTAGAGGTAAATATAAATTTCAGACTTTGTTTTGGTCCTTTTTTAATATAAAATTGATTTTTTTTTTATTAAGGAAAAGTTAAATGAATATGGCGAACCTATTAAATTTGGAAGAACAAAAATAATAAAAGAATATTTTTCAAATATAAAGGCTAATTATTTAGCGAAATTAAAATATGATGCTCCATTAGCTTCATACATAATAGACCTTGATGATAAATATTTAGTTAAAGATAATTTCCAAATCAAATTGGAGCATTACAAGAATCATATTTTATCAAAATTTAATACAACTATTAACATCAAAATTATAAAGTTTTTAGAAGAACTTTCTAGTGAAAAAACAACCAATGAAGTTAGAAAAATTAATTATATAGAATTCTATAAGCTTGTTAGTAAATTAGGGAAATTAGCTTTATTAGATGTAGGGTTTGTATTAAGGTTGTGGGCGAAACCTCTTAATAACTGTCGAAACTCTGTCGAAACTCTAATGAACAATTAATGTGTAACCTGTCGAAACTCTGATGATTGGCGAAAACCCCAAATGTGAAACTCTGCCGAAACTCTAATAAACAATTAATGTGTAACCTGTCGAAACTCTGTCAATTGATTTCTGGAGGAGTTTCTCCCACAACCTTAGGCATGCTGCAACAAAACCAGACAAAGTGAACATTGATATTACCAAGGATTTCAGGGAGTCATTATTATTCATGGGGGTAGTCACTTAAATTTGTTGAAAAAAAGCCTGTTGAAATGATTGTTGACTGTACTAAAGATTCAAATGATCTATTGTAAATTTATCAAATAAATTACTTGGAAAGTCAATCACTTTAATTTATTATTATTAAATATATTTTTATTTTAACTTTTTTCTACAGAAATTACTTGTTAAATATTAAATTATAATAACAATAATTTATACATATCCATTTATTTATGATTGATTACAATCAACCACTAGAGCAAGAAGTGATATCTGTAAATTGATTAAAAAAAAATTTTTTCATGTTTAATATACTATATATATTATGTATGTAATAATGTATACATTGTTATTTTACTATACATGCACCCCAAATTGGTTTGGTGATTTTGATGGTCAAAATTATTCCAATTTTGATGGTAGAAAGTATAAATTAATTATGGCATTCACTATTAAAAACATAAGTGTAATACCCCTTTACTACATGTGTAACCCCCTTTATGACAGTGTCAAAATACTTTGGGCTGCATGTATATATTTTACCTTATGCTTTACCCATTGAATAGTCTGAAGGATTCTTTTTTCATTTTAAAGTTTATTGATTTAAAAATCAATTAACATTTTCACCATTATCACATTTTTTCCTTCTTTTATACCTTTGTACAGTCACCACGAATATATCTTCTGATGATGAGTATCCAGAAGATTCTTCTCTGCTTTCAACAATCTGAAGATTTTTTGTTTGATTTATATTCTCTTTATCCAGATTGTCTATTAATTTGTAGGGTTTTTATTCATGAATATCATGAATATAATTAAGAGGCTACACACTATT